GCCATGGAAGTGATAATTGTATCTTTTTTAATATGCGATATGACTTTTTCATTGCTTTCGTCTAATTTTTTAGATAGAACAATATCGTCGACGGGTTGTTTTTTCATTATTTCTTCATTATTTTCGTTTATTTTGTTTTCACGATTGCTTTTAGATGGTCTCGGTAGAGTTGAATTCGAAACTACGGTCGGTCTAGGCGGTTTATCCGGTTTATCATTAAACACATGGATTTCTTTAGTCTTAACATTGTCTTTTCCCAGTTGACCATCTTTCCTCTTTTCATCCTTACAAATGGGGGGTCCTGGAGCTATTGATTTATTTTTCCTTCTGGTAATTGGCTTGGGACTTTCATAAGCTTGAGTTTCTTCGGACAAACATGTCGTACTCTGACTTCTGCTCATTTCTGATGTATTAGAATCGTAATCACCACCTGGATGATTTTGCCCTGAATTTTTTTCTATTGCGCTTTTATTCATTTTATCAGCTAATTTCAAATCAAAACCTTTGTTATCAATACCTTTTTCCGAAGATTTTTCTTCGACTTCTCCATTCATTATCGGTTCCAATGTCAAATAAAAATCCATTTCTTTGTCAAAAAACCAATCAGCATATGTAACCAATAAATCGATAATAGAAGGATAGAGAGAAACGTTTACATTTAAACTGGAAAAAAAAAAGAAATTTACAAGATAAATTTTCATTTTCAATAAATTAATTTATCTTTTACTAAATTATTAAATTTTCCCTTACCCAAATCCATTTTCATCTTTGGTCCAAATCAAACTTGGAGCAATTACAATAGCTATATTGTGAGGACTCATTTTATTTATTTCATGGTTTTTTGAAAGAATGTGAAAAAATTTTATTAAATAACTCAAATTATCAAAGTTCGGTTTTGGTAATTTATGAACTACTGTCCATAACGCTTGTAATTTATTATCTGGATGGGTCTGTGCTCTAAAATAATTTTTTTGAAAAAAAAAAAAAAAAAATTAATTAAAATAAAAATTTCTGAACTCGAAAAAAAAAAAAAAAAATATGCATATATGTATAAATTATTAATTATGTTTATTATACTTTGCAGCATTTAACCATTCATCATATAAGGAATGGGTTAATAAAGGTTCTGGTAATTCTCTTAAATAACTTTTAAGAGCACCAGCTATCACATGTGGATCTCTGTAAGTCAAAGCCGTAGCCAAAGTCATGCAACCGGCATCAAAACTAAGTTTCATTCTCTTTAACTTTGAAGCACCTCCTAAAATTTTACAATAAAAATGATTATCAGTTTTTTACTTATAGAGAAAAAAATTTTTTTTTTATAAGCTCACAGATTAAAATTATACCAACCAGCAAGTCTAAATAGTCCTTCTTCTTCCATTCCTAATTCTAACAAAGCACAAACACATAATTCTATAGGAAATGCAATTTTTCTACCAGTAACTTGTAAATGCTCTTCTAGATCTACACCATATACAGGTTTAGTTTTACTAGAACCTTAAAAAATGCCAAATAAATTTAGTGTTAATAATTTTTTATAGCTTTAAAATTTAAAAATCAATATAGTAAAAAATGAAAACCAACATATATCACTTTCCAACTCTGGTATAAGTTTATCTAAAATTCCTAATGCATATTCATGATATCGTTTTTGAAATTTATAATATTGCAAAACTGTGTAACATAATTCTGATTCTCTGGCAGCCAAATGAAACATTTCACAAGCTAATACATCCCTACTTTGTTCCACTTTTTGCTCAGAGTCCTTTAATTCATCTTTTATTAATTCTACTTTTGCTGCACCTGAAGTATGGGAATTGTGTTTTTGTGCTTGAAGATATCTAATGCAATTGAAAAAAATTATTGTGCATGATCGTAAAAGGAAAAACCGAGTAATTGTATTTTAGTTAAATGACACAACAGACTAGCGTTCCTCACCTAGTTTTGGCAGAATCCATATCGAGGCACACTTTGGTTACATTTCTTTTTTGTTTAACAATGTTTGGGAAATCCACTTCAATGACATTTTGAAGAGGAGATATCACATGTTGCTCTACCCTGGAATCATGCTCTGCACTTTCTTCCGATATGCACTTTTCAGCATGACCACATTTGGTTAAAACTACCTTCATCAAAGACTCTTCATCGCAAGCTCCGCTACTTTCTAATAAAGCTGCTCCTAATTGATAACTTGGACTTTTTTTCTAAAAAATTAGTACATATACAGTCATACAAATACAGTGAATACACAATTTTATTTTAGCAAAAATACTTTAT